ATTTGGGTTTCCCTACAGGAGCCACAGTTTCGACAGCCCCGGAAAAGCACCGACCCTCTAAGACGCTGTCTGGCTTTCATCACCCCGAGGGACCTTCTCAACCTCAGACCCCAACTCAGCGCCGTACAGCGCCACCAACAACCCAAACCATAAACCTTGTAACCTGAATAAGCGGACTAAACCTGTAGTAGGGTCACTAAGAGATCCCCTTGAACCTCTAGATAACCCCAGAAATGCCTCAAATCATCTGAGCATTCCGCACTACAACTCGCCTGGGCCAATAAAGGCACTGTACCCCATCTGCGAACTTCTAACCTCCTTTAAGCTCCGAAGGGGATCCTTATCATCTCCTTATGCCTTGAAGCACAACGAAGTGAGAAGATCCCATGATCTGGCAGGGCTTTCTGTCCCCGATCACCGCATACTTCGAGGGAAAAATGGGTACTGCCCATCCTAGCGAGCGCCACAGTGAGTTCGCTAACCCCTCACGTGTTAAACACCTTGACCGAGATTCATGAAGCTAGCGAACAAGAGCTCACAGACGATAACACTTTGGCGAATGTTAGCTCTGGCCTCATTGGAGACATCCCACGTGGACCTGATCGTATCTCGCGCTCGGAGGAGCTTATCACCGCAAAAGAGAAGCAGTTGAAAGACCACCGGAAAGAAGTTGTGGCAACCACAAGCAAAAGAATGAGGTGGTTAAGTATGAAGCGTGCAGAACTTCACGCAGGGAAGATACCCTTTGTCCTTGTGGGTTTAGGGTTTGGGGTTTAGGGTAGGGTTCAGGATCCTACTTGGCGTCCCTTGGGAGGCATCTACCCGAATCTACACTAATGCTGAAATGAGGGCTCATGAATGTTTGAGACGGACAAACTCTAGCCTCGGCGCCTGGCCTTGGTGTATCCAGTAGGAAATGGTATCCGAACCTGCCTCATTAATTTCAGGTTTTGAATTACCCGGACCCCATAAGTGTGGCAAAAATGCTTCTAAACTCTAAACCCTAAACCTTAAACCCAAAACACCCTAAACCCCGGCCGGGGGGCCATCAATTTACAAGCCCTAGGGCTGGCAGAGTTTATTCCATTAAACAGGAGTGGTGGCTCGGGCTTGGTATTTTGCGTTTCAGGGTGTAGGATTTAGGAGTTTAGGAGTTGAGGCTGGGGTTGGGTTTGTGGTTTGAGGGTTGGGTGGAAGGTTGATATTTTATCCGGTCTGGCACTCTAAAGCCCTAAAGCCCTAAAACCCTAAACCTCAACATCTAAACCCCCAAGCCCTGAGTACTTGGACACTTGGGAAATGTTTGCTTAGGCCTCAGGTAGTTTTCCGAGCAAGGTGGGGGTATTCTGAGTAGCCACCTCCCCTAAACTGTAAGCCTCTAGACCCTAAACCCCCAACCCTAACCTGGCAGAAGCCCTACAAGCTTGAATCCCCTTTGAAGGGAACTGCCCAACCCTAACCTGGCAGAAGCCCTACAAGCTTGAATCCCCTTTCAAGGGACCTCACCCTGGAACTGCACCATTTGGCGGGTTGGGTGAATTCTGTAGAGAGTATGTTGGGCTTAGAACAAAAAATCGAGTAAGCTTCTGACAAACCTTTCTTCATGAGGTTTTTCGGCTCAGGGTGTGGGGGTATTAGGGTATTAGGGGTATCTTTAGTACACTGCTCCGAATCCTTAAACCCTAAACCCTAAACCCTGAACCCTAAACCCTACATTTCCTGGCTTCCCTCCATGGTTCCTGGACAGGGAAGGGGACTTCTGTGAAGTGGTTGCATTGCTCCATATGAGCCATAGTCTACATTCCTTAAAAACGGGTTATATAGGGATCGTATAGGGAGTGGGGGTACCACTTTTTGGGGTTCCTTTTTGGGTCTCTATAACAAAGTTTAAACTTTAGCCCTAGTTATTGGGCAAGAGAGTTACTAAGGGGGATACGAGGAGTTTAGATTACGGCTCGTATACAAGCCGACTTCGCATCCCAGGACTTTGAAACCTCCAAAACCCTGAGGGGTGAGGAGTGTTTAGTTCGGGATATTACATGCACCACAAAAGTAGAACACTAGTTGCAACACCCCTCGAAAACAGTCCAAAGGGTCATTATGCCACATAATTTGGGGTTTAGGCATGGCTTTGCAACAGAGGGTGAGATAATGCCCTCCTTTTGGCTGCGGCAAGAGTATGACGTGAGCCGTTGTCTAAACTCCTTAGAGGGGTTATACAGTGAATTATATGCTGGACTACTATAGCGCTTATTAAGGGGGGTACTAGGAGTTTAGACGCTAGCTCATGTGATGTGGCTCAACCACCAAAAAAGCTCTACTCGGCTTTACTAAGCCCAACATGGGAGTTTCCCACAATTAGGGATACCCTTTTGGGGGCCCCTACGTTAAGGACTATAGTATTTGGGGGTCTATATTAGGGTTCCCCTATTTAGGGGGAAACTACCATATGTCCCCAACATAAAGCTAAACTGGCTATGTAACCTGTATAGTATCCCAATATAATCCTTGTAAAGCTGGACATGATATGTTTTTATGCGGTTGAACTGGGTCTAAGGTTTAAAGTTTGGAGCCCAGGTTTAAAGTTTAGGATTTAGGGCCTGGGTTTAGGGTTTAGGGTTTAGGGTAGTAGTTCCCAGTGTATTTTCCACTCATGACTTCTGAACCTCCTGTGCTTTCCGAAGCCCTAAGCCCTATATGTACTATAGTCTAAACTCCTTAAAGGGTGTTATATAGGGATTATATAGGGGATGATCCTCGGGGTTATTGAGGGAGATACTAGGAGTTCAGGCTATAGTCGGCAAAAGCTCATATGATCCCTGTATCTCTCCTGTAACGTGATGCAGGCCCCTGGCAAGACCACGGTGATGTTGCGAAATCTGCCAAATAATTACACGAGGGACATGCTGCGACCTGGCAGAGCTAGCTGGTTCTTGAGAGGGGTTCAGGATACTTGGGGTGTTTGGGGTTTAGAGTTCAGAGTCTGGGGTGTGTTGAGCTCTGGATCCTCGATTTGGCTGTTTTGTTTTGACTGCGGATTTGGACATGATTTCTGACACGTCAGAGAAAGTGAGAGATGTTCCGGCAGGCAGTTGCGGCTAGGTAACCTCAAGCCCTGTAGCAAGGACCCTACAAGAGTCATGTCATCGTTAATAGGTCCCTATTTGGGGGGTTGGGGGGAACTCAAACCCTAAACCCTTCTTACAGGGAGGCTAATCCGTGCGACGAATCTAGAAGAGCTGATAAAATACTAGCAAATGTAGGCAGTACGTTTGTTTTCCATGCTCGCTTAAGACAAGGCAGGCTAAGGTCGGTTAACGGCTAAGGTCCCCCCTCATTTTTTTGAATTGGGATTCGGAAATTCGGTAACGAAACCAGTCGCAATCTCTTTCAATAATTGGTTCCACCACTCAGTTGGACAACATGATGGTACACGCCACCCAGGAAGTCGAGATACACCAGCTTCGAAACCGGCAGACTGGGCACGAGGGTGCGGGATCCGCCGGCTCTGGTTCTCTGGACCGACCCTGCTTCGGATGCGCAGAAGACGGACCTGGGTGAGCGATGGCCTTTTGCAGCGGGGAGTCCTGGGAAGCATCCTGCCTAATCTCGTAATCTAGTAGTACACTAGGCCATACTAAGCCACTAAGGCGGTAGGCTGTCAGCATGTTTGCCCCCCTTTACCCTTAACCCTTACAATCTCAACCCTAAAACCCTTTATATATATATATACATACATATGTATATATAGGTGCTGGAGCTGTTGGTTCGGACAAGAAGCCAGAGGAAAGACATACCTGTGGTCCTGGTTATTTCGGGTTTAGGGTTTAGGGTTTAGGTCCTGGTTACCAACAAACGAAGGAATGGATCTTTGTAGTACAGTCCCTGCATAACCCCAATAGTATCAATATCAATATCCTCGTACCCCAGGACTTGGGACAGCATGAGCCACCCCATTTCTTAGGTACTGCCCCCCACTCTGTAGCTGATGGGTAATATTTACGGTATAAGATAGTTCTATATAGTCCTGACTATGACACCTGATATAGATTGTTACAGGGTGGGGGCAGTACCCAACCTATTTGTGTATTCCAGCTTTTTGAGCTTGAGCTGTAAATGGGGTAGATTCCGAGGGCCTAAGCTAAGGGACACTACCATAAACCCTGAACCTTAAACCCTAAACTAAATAGGACGGATCCCTTGAGAGTCGCTCATGCAAGGGAATTGCAGTGGATGCAAGCCTTCTTAGATGGGAGCCTTTCAGAATCTACCTGATTAAACCCTGAACCGTAAGAAAGCCTCGAACCATAAACCCAAACGCCCAAACCCAAAGCCCTTAAACTTTCACCCCAAATCTAACCCCCAAGACGAACTCTACACGCAAAGCCCAATGCTTGACCCTAAAACCTAGGCTGTACACCCGTTACCATCCCTCAAGCAAATGTGGAAGACCAAAGCCCAGAGAGCTTCCTTTCAATCGGACAGCACCCAGGCCTTACAGGGCACGTTTGGGTTCATAGAGAGTAAACTGTTGAGCGTTTTTTTTTAATCATATTATAACCCTATGGTAGTTTCCCCAAATAAGGGTACCTCAATCTAGAGCCCAAAAAAGTATAACCCTTATCAGGGCCCACAACAAGGTACCCCTGCTTTTGGAAACCTCCATCTAACCCCTGGATCATCCCGACAGCCCCAAGCAATAAGCACAGCCTCTCGGGGGAGGGTAGTGGGGTTATATGGGGTTATATTGGGATAATGGAAAGTAAAATGGAGACTGCTATTTAGGGTTCAGGGTTTAGGGTTTGTATATGTCGTTGAGACCTTAGAGTCACAAGGGTCACGCCCCCTATTTTGAGAAAGCTCCAGGTTAGTTCGGGGGAGGAGAATGTCAAAGGAGTAGGCTTAACCCTAAACCCTAAATGGGGTTCCACGTTGTTGGGGGGAGGGTACATCCCTTGAACCCTAAATCCTAAACCTTGAGGGTACATAAGAGAATCCAGGCTCGAGCTTCTTGATGAACATGGTATGGCGGGGCTCTATGACTTCGTGTGGCTGGGATGTTTGAAGGCAGTAATCCTGGAGCTTTCGGTTTAGGGCTTAGGGTTTGGAGTTCAGGGTTTGCGGTTTAGGGTCTGGGCATTTCGCCGGAGCTCCAATGCTTGAGTAGAATCAAGGGTTCTTTTGGTGTACCTATGTGAGCTATAGTCTAAACTGCTTAAAGGGGGGTTATATAGGGGATTCTATAGGGGACTACTTTAGGGGATATTAAGGGGGATACTAGGAGTTTAGACTATAGCTCACATAATGGGAATACTTACATATTCGGTTAATATTAGTGGGAGAGGATTAGAGCCTAGGGCTTCCCTATGTCTGAGGTCCTAACCATGGGCCCTGAAGATGGGCCCCTACTGGGTCCTAACTTTGGGCCCTGAATTGGGTTTGTAGCATATCCTTATGGTCACCTGGGGCCCGGCTGTTTTCAAAAGCTCCCATGTGTGCAAGGTGCTCAACGATTGTCGCCTGGGCGAGAAGAAGAACGTGAACGTTCCCGGAGTCCCGTGCTCAGAGAAGCCTGAAGGGTTAGTAGGGCATAAGAGAATAGGTTATGTAGGGATTATCTGGCGATGATATAAGGATGATATAGGTATTATGTACGGTTTTGGGTTTGGGGTAGTGGGTCCTAGGGTTGAGTGTCTAGGTTTTAGGTTGCAGGGAAATCCCTTCCCCTCAAGATTCCATTCCCTTTCACCGCAGCAGAATTCACTACCAGTATGGGCTAGTAGACCCTAAAATTCCCTACTAGTACCTTAAGAAGGGTAGACAAAGGGCCCTTCAAGGTGGAATAGGCCATCGTATGGCCCCAACGCCTGTATGGGCGTCTGAAGGGAGATCTGATGTTAAAGGGAGGTGTTTAGAGTCTATATAGGGATAATGGAAAAGATATCTGAAATTACTCTACATTATTTAGGGTTTAGGGTTTACAGCTGAGGGTTTAGGGTTTAGACTTTAGGATTTAAGGTTTAAGGTTTCCAGGGTGAAAGGTTTAAGAACAGCAATAGCAAGTTCTGCTTACAACGTTTAGCCTGTGGCAAGGCAAACAGTGATGTGTTGAGTAGTGGTAACAGTAAAAACTATTGTACTACGTGACGAAGAGTTATGGAAAGCTACAGATATCACAATGCATCTTGTGGTTTGGTGGTGTTTGGGGTTTGGGGTTTAGGGTTTAGGGTGTAGGGTTTGGGGCTTATTTGGGATGCTCACTGCAGTTACCGTCATCTTACGTCACTCCCTTTTTGTGGTGAGTGCCGTGGAGAATGTAGTTATCGTCATCCCGGTGGTCAGTGTCGTGGAGACATTACACTTTTCTTCCATGCTACATGTCCCATCATGTCCCTAAGCCCACAGAACTGGCCGTAAGTCAATCCCTAGTCTTTGACTCGTTATTGAAGCTGTGCAGCGATGCCCCCTTCTGGTTTGCATGAGCTATAGTCTAAACTCCTTGAAGGGGGGTATATAAGGGATTCGATAGGGGACTATAGGGGTTGTTAAGGGGGATACTAGGAGCTTTCACTACGTCTCATATAATCCCTATATCATCCCTATGTAAACCCTGTATCATGGCTAAGTATTACATTCCCTTATTCCTTACTAGCATCCCAGTAAGCTCGCATGGCTCGGCTGGAACAAGATGGACCTGCAGCTGTTCCACAATGCTAATGTTCTGAAATCATAAAGGCACTAGTAGTCGTATTAAGAAGAGTACTAGCGTTTGGAGTAGTATTAGTACTCGTAGGTAATCAACCCATTTTCTTAAGGCTCTCCAGTGCAATGCAAGCGGACATATAGCAGAGTACAGTTGTCGTGGTTGTTGTTGCAGCGGCTGTTGTTTTTGTTTTTGTGGTTGAAGGGCTGTTAAGGTTGTGGGCCATTCACATCTGAGTAGTACTTTATTTGGGGAGACGAGAGTCCCCAATTTAGAGTAAGATTATCTTCCTTTGGATATATAGTATTGAACAATCTTGATGGGTTCAAGCACCGAAAAACCGCTACTCATCTGAGTTGTTTGCCTGTTCTCTCCCAAGGTGAAAATCAACCTCCCAGTGGTGGACGAGCGGGAGATTCACGATATTGCCACTCGCCGTAGACACACCATATTCTTATCCCAAAGCCTATAGTCCCCCTTAAGTAGATAGAATATGGCTTTGGGTATATCATAATAAGATCCCCATATGGGGTATCTACCTAAGGGGGATGATAAACCCTGTTGAAAGCTGTGTGTCCGCTAGATGCACCCAACTTGTGGGATCCTAGGCTAGGAAGGTCAAATGTCCTATCCAATTTTTGGAAAGCCCTAAGCTGAGAAGTAGTGAGAAGTGGCATGCATATAGGGTTTCCAACACTTACAGATCGCTTCAAGCGTGCCATAGGGGTTTCAGAAGCTTTTGGTCTTAGAGTTCCAAATGCCCAGAGCATCTTCAAGCCCCTATGCAGCTCGCCTTACAAGGCACCTTCCCCGAAACTTGCATGGAACCCCAAATAAATCCATCTAAAGAGGAATATAGTCTGCATAGGACCGCTTTTCTCATTCCAAGCCCTAAATCCTAAACCCTACTTGGAGGCCCATGGGACTTAGTAACTACTCCTAACTGGGATTATAACCATACTTACAATTGGGGTACCCCCTATAAGTCCATTGAGGGGGGCTATATGTAGGGTTATCAGCCCAATTAGAAGTAGTTACTATGTCCCATGGGCCTCCAAGCAAGCCCTCGGGAGAGGGTACCTCCCTCGGAAATCTGCTGCAAACCCTCCAGAAGGCATTCTAGCGAGACCCAGAATTGCACAGGCCCCTCAGGGAGTAAGAATGATGTTCCCAAGGTTCCCTGCCGCTCAGTCTATATGGTTTACACAGGCATTGCACACCTTCCGCACCCTAAGCCCTAAACCCAACTTGTCCATCAACACCGGGTTTGCGCAGATGACGTCAGCCATCTCAGGTCAATTGGGCTGTTCCGCACAAGGCAGGAGGGTGAGGGAGGGGCTGAATACCCTCAGCCAAACCGATATGGAACTTGAAAAAGGACCCTCAACCCTAAACCCTACATAGACTACAGTCCTTCGTCAGAGGGTTCATTTGGGGTTCCATTTTAGTTTGGGGAGTGACGTGCAGCCTTCAGGACCAGCCTTTCTTACCTAAGGTCTTACTAAATGTCAGATCCCTGAATGCAGGCGGACTACATCGCCCTCAGTTTTGTCCAAACGCCGCAAGACATCATCGATTGCAGGCGCTGCAACCAAGCACGCCTTCTCAGTGTGGCGGAAGATTCAGGGTCCCTACACCCTAAACCCTGACCCAAACCCTAGCCTAAACTCTAAACCGTAAATTGGGAGCTTCTCACACAGCTTCCGGGATCCTCATTAGGCTACGGCTCAAATGAAGTCTCATCCAGTGGGTATCCCTTCTTAGACAAGTTTCATAGGGACCTATCCTGGCATGTCTCCACTCTAATCCCGAAACGCTCATCCTTAAACCCTAAACCCAAAAAGATGTGGTAGTTTCCAAAAATAACGGTACCCCAATATAGACCCCAATATACTATAGTCCCCATTATTGGGACCCCCAATAAGGTACCCCCATTTTTTGGGAAAGCCACATGTATACTAATTGTAGGTCACATGAGAGCCATGAAAGGAAGCACTGCGGCGATGCCATGAAGATCATTGCCAAGATCGAGAATGCATCCAAGAAGCAAGCATCTTTCTGGGGGCTAGTAGAGAAAAAGGGAATCTAATCCCTATAGAATCCCAATATAACATATTCCCACATTCCCTACTAACCCTAAACCCTAAACCCTATATCTCTATATCTCCATACATATATATATACATATATACATATATATATATACATTATTCCCTTTTTCCCTACTAGCCGCCAGCAAGACTTCCATAGGAGTTGAGGTTCGAACATGTTGGGATTGTCGGCGTGAGATGGTGTGGTTCCTCCCTCAGCGCAAAGCTGTAGATTTAGACATTCATGTAAAGCTGTAGTCTAACCTCCTGAAAGGGGTTATATAGGCACACACTGAAGATTCAACTGAGGTGGAGGGCTTACACCCTTCAGTGTATGGTCCCCCTGAAGTAGATAGAATATGGGGATCTTATTGTGATATACCCAAAGCCATATTCGATTTATTTAAGGGGGGCTATAAGGGATTGAGCTTTCTAGATTAGTTTGTCTTTTCCCGAAACCGGACTGAGGTGGAGGGCCTCCGCAACTTTCACGGAATCCTGGAGCAGGTCAGGACCCTTGCCTCAGTGCTTCGCAGTTTGACCGCGACCATTACCAACAGTGTGCTACATCTGGTAAAAGCAATACGAGAAGCCACTTGCAAATGTCATCATCAACCACGCCTGTTATCCTTTTCAACTTAACAACTTGAGTGCTATTTACTTCAACGGAATTGTTGTTCCTATTGCCACACCCTTAGTACGACATTGAGTACTGTCCTGTCCTTTGTTCTCCCGTTAGACAGGACTTATGTTCCCAGGTGATGAGGATCCTAACTTGGCTATTTCGGCAAAGCCCTGAATTACAAACGGATGCCTGCATTCCTTCTGGAAGAGCTGTATGTTTCTGAGTATGACCATCCGGAAACATTTGTCCTAGGTCTTGTAGTTAGAAGGTTTACGATCATTCAGCTTGAGAGCATGGGCACTGATGACTTGTTCAGCCAGCAAGCTCTTGGTCAGCACGGCTTCGGAACACGTGGGGTTTGTTTCTATATAGGGGGTTCCAAGAGTTCTGCGTTGCTTCTGGTTGCCTGGTGAGTTCTCAGGTACATCCAGAAGCTCCCACATGTGTTCCAGAGCTCTGAAAAATGGTGGGGGACATTTGCCTTCCTTCGTGCTGCAGAAACTGTGCAATTTCACTTCTTTTAGGAAGGGGCCCTTTAGAGCAGACTTTGGAGTACTTCGGGTGTTCTCCAGTCCCTGATGTCTCAAACTCTGTAGCCTCAAACCCTTCTGACAACTCTGTCTTGCAGTTGAGGGAGGCTGCGGAGTGCTTGCTTGAGGCAAAGTGGCATATGGGGTTTCCCACAATTATGGGTACCTTTTTGGGGGTCCCCATAATAAGGATTGTAGTATATTGGGGTCGATATTGGGGTCCCCCTATTTTGGGAATCTACCATATGCTGCCTTAGAAGGAAGGCTGATATCAGCAAGGAACACGCCCTCCCACTGATGCGGAAACCCTGAGACGGCCCTACAAAGACTGTGCTGCGTAGGGTTTTACGTGGGAGTTTCTCACAACTGCCGTTAAATACACTCGGATAAGGACCGCCGGACTCCCCTTATGATCGTCATATATGCCCAGGCTCCCCGAGGGCCGCCCATTTGCAGAAGCTCCCATGTTAGCTTTGGGGAGGATACTTCTGCAAGGTTAACCACAAGAAGTAAGTCCAAATCATTCCCGCCACAATCCCAACAAGGCTTTGCACGAATACTAGGGGAACGTATTCGTACCCGGGTGGGGGGAGTTTTCAAGTTTCTTCCCATGGAGGGCATTCATGTAATCCTTAAACCCCAAATCCTATACAACCCTATATAACCCTTATATAACCCTGTATAGCCCCTATACAACCCTGTAGAAGCCTAGACAACTCTATATAAGCCTACACAACCCTATACAACCCCTAATATAACCGTATATGACCCTATACAATCCCTACACAACCTTGTATAAGCCTACATATAACCTTGTACAACCCTATACAACCGTATACAACCCTATACAACCCCTGTATAACCATTATACAGCCCTATACAACCCCTGTATAACCATTATGCAACCCTATACAACCCCGTACACAACCCGACACAACCCTAAACAGCTCTATATCACCCTATATAACCCTTATATAACCCCTATACAACTCTATTTAACCCTACACAGCCCTATATAACCGTATACAACCCTATACAATCCTAGACAACCCTTCATAACCCTATACAACCCTATATAACCCCTATCTGACAGGCAGATGGCATCATGGTGGCTCGTGGTGGCTTGTCCCAGCTCAGATCCTATCCTCGCAAGCTCTGCGTGAATATCTTCCCTAGGGTTTAGGGTTTAGGGTTGAGGATAACCTCAAGGGGTACCCTAGACCTGAAACCGTATGGGCACACAGGATCCCTACGATCCACACCATTTTACATCAGGGAGAATGATCATGAGGTTTACGGTTAGAGGGAGAGGGTTGCTAAGTAAAGATGCGTGTTCAAGGAGGTGCTATGGTTGCAGATCAAACAATTCGAACACCACAGATTGCCTGTCATCGGCTTGAATGCTTCCTGGTAGAGCCCCCCGCCTGTAAATACAGTTTGCAATTTTCCGAGAGAGCCCTATAGTCTCTTGTTGACCTATGTAGATTGCTTGGGGCCCTTTGGGCCACCATTTTGAACAACCTTATCCTCGGGGAAAAGCTTGATCTTGCTGTCTCCCGGAAAAGATGCTACCCTTAAACCTCAAACCCCTAAGGGTTTAGGGTTTAGGACTTGGGGCTTTGGGTTTAGGGTTCAGGTTCTGGGGTAACCCTAAACCCTAAACCCTAAGCCTCCAGAGTTTACGTCTCCCAC